GCTGCTGCCTCTGCTCTGTGCTGGCTGCTGTTAGAAGGGGTGAAGGATCACTCTGGAGTGGGCAGAGCTCAGGTCTGAATGAAGATTTCAGCCTGCACAAAGCTGTCAGCCATGAAAATTAATTTTAAAGAAGTCATTGCACCTGACTGAAATGGTATCAAGGTGCTTTTTGGTCATGTTCTCCTTTGTTCTTTCTGCTGAGGTCCCAATTAGCTTTTGCTGCTACTTCTTGGGTGTTTTGCTGATCATGATGTAACGTTTTCCAGTACTGGGTACTTGTTAAGGTCAGAATTTGGCACAGCAGCAGCGAGCAACAGCTTGTACAGACACTGGTGCCCAGTATGGCTAATTGCTGCTGAGTGTGAAAGAGCTGACACTTTTCAAGCATGGTGGATAGTCTGTGCTCATTCACTGAAAATGCAGAGTTGGAGAAGCTCAGCTACAGCCTGAACCAGCTGAGGTACTTTAGAATTTAGAAGTCAGCTGGAATTGGAACATCTGTGTCTCTGTTCAGTGGCAGAAATCTTGTGTTTCACCACGCAATGCTTTCCTTTTTTATGAAAAATGAAAGGAATTCTATTAAGTGTTTTGGATCTGATGCTTTCCTATCAGATTAGATAAAAATTTATCACAGCTTAAGAAGCTAATTTCTAGAGAGAGATAAAATACTGCACCAAGAGAGACCTTCATCCTCTTGCTGTGGATTGCTGAGGCAGTCATGTTTTCTTTCCTGTCCTTGAAACACAGGCTGTGCCTATACTTCTGGTTCAGGCTTTATTAAGAGGCTCTTCAGCCTTGAAGCAAACATACAATATTCTCATTTGTAAGAACACTTCTTTCTAGGGAATGTATTTCAAAGTGTTTTTTCCACTGCAGAAATAAATTAATGTAAGTGATGTTTGACAGTGATTCCACTTTTCCAGGAAGAATGGCCTTTGTGTAAGTTGAGAATAGGGAACTGCATTATTCCTTTGAAAGATGTTTCTAAAATATCTTTGGGCTCTCGTGAGTAGTGACAGTCTCATGCAGAAACAGAATGGCCTTGCTGTGCTATAGATTTATTAGTACCAATTTTTTCTGCAGATTCTCTGCTTTTGGAATCCTTTGGTTATCATAATCTCCAGTGTTAGAGAAATTGCAGTTGTTTTGTGGGCTCTCAAAGTGCTACTGATAAAATCAACTGAGGGAAGAAGATCCTCAGTGAAGGATTAGGTGGCATTTGCTCATTTATTAGCGTGAGTAAACTGACTCAGAGACTCTTATTTTCCGAAAGCCAGATAGCAAGTTAGTGTTGTAATTAAGTCTGATTCAGCAACACATTCTGTTTGGTTTCTGTGATGCTTGAGGCCAATAATTCAGCCAAGTTCAGCAAAGAAATGAGAGCCTAGTCCAAGTCATCACAAATTTCATGTGTCAGTGAGAGACTGAAAATGTCTTGCTCTCATTTTAACATTTATTACATTTTTACAAGAATATTCAAGATAATCTGAAAAAATACCACAGAAATGATGGGAACTGTTTTATACAGTGTTCAACTGCATTATTAACCTTCAGAAAAAAATGAATGCTGTGATTTCTGCTTTACTTCTCGCTTCGTTTATCTGCAAAGGATTTAATATCTTAATGGTGGAGAGCTCATATGAAACAGAAGTGGCTGATGTTAATGAAGTATCTTAAACTGATCCGTTCTTCAGGGATGCAGTCTGACAAATACAAAAGGTTGCATCTTCCAGCTCCGTGAGGATGGCTCAGTGAAGTTAGCACACACAGATGGACGGACACAGGCGCTGGTGCAGCGGGGCGGCAGCAGATCAGGGCTAATGCTGCGTGGCTCATGGCTGCCAAGTGCTGTGGGCCGGATGGTGCCAAAATAAAACCTGCGTGAGCTTCCCTTGACGCTTCCTAAATCTTCCCTGAGACATTGGGGGGCTCGGGATTTCAAATGGAGAAGCACAGGCTGCTTGGCAAATGCAGTCCAAATGAAGCAGAACCTTCCTCTGCAAGGTATTTGCGTGCAGCCTGCACGGCTGCAGTTGGGGAATGAACTTGCAGTGAGGCAGGGGATTAGCCAGGTACTTCTGTTGTTGTTCGGAAGTGTTTCTCTTCTGATTTAACCAGGCAAAAGGATGTCCCTGTTTCTTTGTATTTACACAAATTTTAAAATGCAAAGCTTATCTCTCTGGGGAGTGCTGGGAGGAAGTGGTGGTTGACACAGAAAATACAGTTTCTTCTACCATTTCTGTAACAAAGCCCCTCTGTGCTGTTGGACAAAGGTATAATTACTGTGTATTGCGTTTTTTCTTCACAGTGAGTGGCAGTATGTCCTGCCCAACAGAATACTAAGGATTTCAGTAGTATCTGGGGAACTGAACTGCATGCGACATGGGCAGCCTGGCACTGTATGTGGACAGACCTGAGCAAATGAACTCTATAGAGCAGTTCACAGTTCACACTTAGTGGCTGTTGTGGTTTTGTTGTTTTTATGGGGCTTAATGAGGCTGTACCAATTTCAAAATGAGCGCTCCAGAGACAAGATGGCTGCTATAATAATACTGAACAGAAAGCGTGCACGGAGCATGAGCTGTCACAGAACCAGCACAGTCCCTGTCCCAGCAGTTTGTCACCCCCAGACTGGACACGTCATTGGAAACAGGGGCACCTATCAAGAGCTGAGCAAGAATTCCATCTGGTCACTGCATAGTGTAAGAGAGAAGTGGCCAGTTATGACCTGTTAGTATGATTTGACCAGCCTACTTGGTCTTGGCTCAAAGGGGTGAGCAAGAATTCCCAAACTGATGCTCAGCCATAGACAAACTGATCAAATTTATCCTACTGTGGTTTTCATGAGAGAGGTATTCCCTTAAAATACAGTAAGTCAAGCAGTCTTCACTCTGGAGGTTTTGAAACAAAGCTAGGGAACCTTTTCTTATTCAGAATGGAATAAGCCTTTCAAGTAGCTTTGTCATAACGTGAGAAATGCCAGTGTGGTCTGTGGTGTGCTTACCATAGCTCGCTCTCTGCCTGTAGTGCAGGCAGCAGCGTGTTTTGATTTCTATGGAAAGGACCAAGCTTGGTCAGCACTTCTTTCCAGTTTTCTTTCCAACCCCACTACTCACCATCGTCCAACTGGGGATGCCGATGTCCGCTAACTGCCTTCCATATCTATTTTGGATCTGTTGTCTATGGATTTGTCTAATGGCTTTCATGCTATCTCACTTTACAGTCCTGTGTTTACAAAATTCCCAGAAGCTCATAGTCTGGCAAACTTATTTTTTTTTTTTTAATCTGTAGTACGCTTATCTTTTAATATCAGTCATTGTTCCTCTTCTGCTGTGGAGTGTACTGAGAGAGTAACAAATTCTGCATTTACCAGTTCTGTTATTCTGTAAACCTCAGTCATAGCATTCTCGTCAGCTTTTTTTCTCCAGACTAAGTCCTGTTCTTTGTTGTATATTCTCCTATATATCCACCTTTTTAAACATTTTGATACTCCTTTTCTGTGCCTTTTCTAACCCCACTCTATCCATCCTGAGGCAAGCTAATCACTGTTAGATATCTGTCAAGTACAGCTTTAGGCTTGTCTTTTTGTAATATGGATATATAGCAAGTGAGAGCAGTGAAGCCTCAAAGATGAAAACTGTACTCACAGTTGATGGTCTCAGGTGCAGGTATATGGCTGAAGCATTGACACGTTCCATTTTCATAACACAGCAATCTTACAAAAATTGAGACTACAGAAATAATTATTTTAGTGCTCCCTCCTGCTGTACATCATACCAGATATTCAAAGTCAGGGAACTGTTGGAAGCTGTTGCAAAGGCAGTGGAGAAAGGAGTGGCTTTTGATTAGTGTTGTGAGCAAGGATGGTCGGCAGTGGTAGTGTGGTGTTTGGTACTGATAAGTGAAGGCTACAGCTGTTGTGAATTGGTGTCCTGGGCTGACATCTGCCCTCTGTGTGGATTTCCAGATAGATACATCATTGTTACTCTTCTGAAGTACAGTATATATCGTGGTTCCTAAATCAAAGCCAAAAACCCCAGCAAAACTGACTGAATGAGAGTGTCTCCTTTGATATTTTTCTCATTTTGATTGCAATCATTTATCAGCTTTCCAGTAGGTGAGCTGGCAGAGGGCAACTACTAATGGGATCTTCGATAGAAAAAGCAGAGATCTCTTGAACTTCTTGTGATTGCACAGATCCCTTGAGTGCTGTCAGACTTTCAGGTGTCTCTATTCTACCCTGCTGTGACAGTAAATGAAAGGAAAGAACAACCTCTTTGATGTACTTGGCAATTTTACAAATAGCTTTTTCTAATCAGTAGAATATAATGATCGGATAAATATGTCTAGGCTTTGAAAAGCCAAATAAAAAGTCAATTGGCAGCAGTGGATATTGTCCAAGCTGGTGAAGTTCAGTTGGAAATAATGTATTTTTTAGGGCAAGTTTTAAGAAGAGACTGATTCAATGCTAATATCTCAAACAGGGTTCAGTGTGTTCTGTAGATAAACTCAGCTCTCAGAATAAAAATGGATTTCCCTCTTGTAGTTTTGACAATGTGTAGTAATGAGTATGGTGTACAGTTACAGTTTTTAACTGAGCACTTGGTAAATGAGGGTTGATTACGTGGTCCTGTGCTGACTGTGTGTGGCCTTCTGCTTACCTTTGGCCATGATTCAGTCCTTTCAGTGTAACTAATGTTGGGGATTAAAATGGGCTAGAGTAATGATAAAACCAGCTGTTTCCTTAAAATAAAAAAATGAAAGAGTTAACCAGTATCTTGAAACTTAAATGACACCAAAATACCCGCTAGTCCCATTGGTTGGAAGAAATGCCCTGCCCAGATCCTCATTTTAGTGATACATGTATCTGCCCATCAGTAAAGAACATATCTGAAGTTCTCCTTTAAGTGGTGCCACACATAGAGTAAGGGAGCAAAAGGTTGTGATTCAGATGACATGCATTTTACTAACCTTTTTTTCTTTTAAATTTTCTCAAATAGGGTCGGGACTGCAGTGTGCCCATTAATTCTTGCATTCAAAATCCATGTCAGAATGGAGGGACCTGCCACCTCACCGAGGCAAATAAAGATGGATTCAGGTAGTAACACAAAGTTCATTTAAAGCAAGATGATAAAATAGTTGTGTTTCTACACTACATTAATGAAGTATAATGAGTACTTTGTAAAAGCTGCTGCATGTGACAGTTCTATCTGCCAGACCAAAAATTTAATCTGGTTTCATTGGTGACATACTGTTTCCTCTGAAACAGATCTCCTTATTGTCTCATAATGGGTTATACTCTAAGAGCTATTTTGAGCAGTCTGCCTGATCTGTATTGTGTTATCTGTATGCTAATTTTCCTCAGGGCATATCAAACTCATGCATACCCCTTTTTCTATTTGTAAAATAAGCATCTGTTGCTTGACAACCAGATGCAAAATGTTTTCATACTGCATCTTGTAGACAAACAGGCTTTAAAGAAACAATTAAAAAACATGAAGAGATTGCTACATCTTGTTGGGCATAATGCCTGCAAGACAGTAGCCTTTATAGCTGGACATCATGGGTTTCAGTTTTCCCCTATAAGAAAAATGTAGCTTAGATTGGGAGACTCCAAGAGAAACCCAGACATTTTTCATGCAGTTAATGGGAGATTTGTGCACCCTGAAGTCCTGTTTTACCGCTATGAAATTACAGATTTCAGGTTTTGGCCACTAGTTGTCATTGAAGTTGCTAGAAACTGTCTTGCAAAAAGCCATTTTTCAAATCTTCATTGATTTCCTCCTCAATATTTATACTATTTCTTGCTCAAAATATGTGCAAAATTACACCATGATGTTTCAACAGAATATATGAAAGTCTCATCTCTAAATGCATATATTCATTACTCGTGCTGCTGCTGTGTCTTCTCCTGTGCACTGCTTCCTCTTCATGACAGCTGGAGTGAGACACAGTAATACAAGGTTTATAAATGGGGTAAGCAGGAGTCACACCAGTGATTTTTTTTTAATTTTTTTTTAGTTCCAGTTTGCTTTCAGCTGTAATTATGACTGTTCCAGATGAGGTTAACCAAGTTTGTTAACCAAGTCAGCAAACCCATATCCTCTTATCTCAGAAAATAGACAGAACCAGGTGGAAGACTGAGTGACTGAAAGGACATAGGGGGATCTGGAAATGCGCCATCCAGCCCCCAGCTAAAGGCTCAACAAATTTTATGTTTCCAGCAAAGCGCTGTGGCTTCTTTTTGATTTCCTAAATCGCTTGGATGGGAATGAGGCACAGAAGAGCTCCCGTCTTGCCCTGTAGGTGGGATCAAGGCAACCCTCTTTGAGCAGCTATGTCAAAACTGTGAGCAGAGCAGCACATCCCCTGGATACAGATGCATGCATAGAGTTGTGTTGGTGCATGGTGGTGAGACAAGGAGATTCTGCAGTCCATAGCACAGAAATGGTCACCTCTAGTTTTGGGAAAACCGCTATCCTGCTCTGGTAATCTAATATCCTTCTTTTTGATTCAGATGCTAGCAGCCCCAGCAGGATTTGGAGTACAGATTCAGTTTCTGTTCAGAGGAATAATGGTCTGTTGGTCTTCAGTTCAGGTTCCCTTTGGGTCACCCTCCTGTAATAGCGGTCAGACAATTTTCAGCAGATCGTGCTATTGCAAAGTTGCATCATATTATGTCACTCAGTACTCATTTTGCAAAACTTTATCTGATAGTAAAAATGTGCCAGTAAAGCATTTGATAGTATCTGTAACACTGGAGCAAAAAACTTCAGTTTGTATTTTGGTTCAGATTTTTGTCTGGCTTTATTTCGTGCTATGGTAGAAAGTAAAAAGAATGCTTTAATTGACCCAAAATGAAAGCTGCTTCTGATTTTTTTCTCATTAAGTTTCCATTTTCAGGGTCTTTGCTTCTGTTCCAGAAAGACGTAGGTTTCAAGGTCCTTGGGAAACAGCAGGAGTGGTTGTGTTGCTTGACATCTGGGGCTTTGTAGGGAAGATTTCTGCTTTTATAGTTATTTATATAGTTTCAGTTGGTCTAATAAAAGACCTATAAAACCATATCTTGTCAAAATCTTGCTTCATAAAATTGAATATTCAGCTTATGCACTGCTGTAGTTCCTCACCATGTTTGTAATGCAGTTAGCCCACTAAAGTATCCTTGGCTTCGTGCTGCTCTGAAGAGCAGAGTGTGGGGCTTGGGCATGTCTTAGAGAAGGTGTGAAGTGGGGATGAAACAGTGAAGGGGGAAAAAAAAAGAAGCATTTTGAGATATATATTTCTTTTCTTTTTTTGTTGGGAAATCTCTTCTCCAGTGGATGGCAGCAGCTGGAGTTACACGCATATAAATTGTGTTCATCAAGATGGGAAAATGTTGCCTTAGATTATAGGCTGTGAGGAAGTGGATGTCAAAAACATTTTCATGAGAGGCCTTCTTGTATTTTTCTGTTGTGTGGCCTGTAAAAGAAATTATATATTCTGTATATTCTCTTCCCTAGGGAAATACATTCATACACAAGCTCTGCTGCCAAACTTGTCAAATCTTTACTCTTTTAAAAAGGAAACTTAAGCCAAAACTCCCTGCCTATGAAATGCCAAGCAGTTTAACTCTCAAGTTTCTGTAGTTTTAGACAAGAAAATTACCTTTTAAATAGTGCAGAGGTGGTGATGCTCACCAGGCAAAGACAGGAAATTCGATGTTACGACTGAGATTCCAGCCCGACTCACCCGCTGTGTCCAGGACCTGCCAGGGTTCCAGCAGCAGGGCACTGGGTCACTGCGACTGCTGCAGGAGTGGGTTCTGCTGGGGCAAGCAAAGAGCACAGGTTCAACTGCAGTTCTTCAGTCTTTCTTGGCACTTTGTATTCTTGCACTCTTTAAAATCTGCAATATTTTCTTTCTAATATTTTTCTTTTAAGATAGGGTCTTTTTCTGCATTAAAGATTAATTAAGAGGCACTGTGTGACTCAGGGGATTAGAAACATGAAGTTCTTCCGCTCTTTACATTGCTCATTCTAATCTAATCTATGTCTGCTGTGACAAAAGGTTGCCAAAAAAAGGTGCTTATTTGAGACCGATAAAACAAGATGGTCAATCAGACATGTCACGCTCATTTAGCATGCCTAAAACTGGGACTTTGATGTAGGAGGCAGAGCTGTCAGCTCTGCCTTGGAGTTAGCTGCAGGCAGCCAGCTTATCTTTGCTTGCCTACAGTGTTGGGAAACAGCCTCTGCAGTATATTTCAACTTTTCTCCACGTATAAAGATCTCCATTGTACAGAGCATTTTCTTTAGTGTTTTGCCCGGACTTTAAGTTCCTTCATAAATGCAAAACCCTGGAACAGATTAACTGCCCAGTGGTAATTCTACCTAGTTCAAGAACTGTTGTGCTTCCAGGCTACTCTGTTGGCATGCAGATGTAGATAGCTTCTTTAGTAAGAAGCTATAATATTCTTGAAAGAATTTACCATTGGTATTTAAAAGTTTTTTGGTTTTTGTGTGTGTGTGTTTTTAAGCATGATACACTGTGTGTATGCCTCTTTTAATAAACAGATTCATGACGGTTTGGAAAAAAAATTGAATAGAATGAACTTAAGAAATTGTCAATGTACTGCAGCTCCAAAAGTTTAGTCCCCAAAGAGTTGTCATTAATTGATGTGTTGTATTTCACCTTCAAGAGAATAATTATGATGTGAGATTTTATTTATTTTTTTTGTTTTTAGGGGAGCACAACACTAAAACAGAATCCCTAAACTGGAAGGGAATTGGATCTTTATGAGGTTAGATCACAGCGTCTTAGGAAATGGTTCTTTCTTCCATAGCTCCATTGTTTCCAGGGTCCAAATGAAAAGCTGTCTCACAGTGCCTCACTATTTAGTCAGCACACAGTTTTCATCATTGTCTCTGGAATTAATTTTCTCTCTCGGTCAGCTGGAACTTGAGTTTGATGACCTCCCAGTCACTCTGCAAGCTTCATTTTTCTTCTAAGCTTTTTCTGGGAAAATACATACAAACAGTCCCAAACTGCAGCTCTTTCAACATATGGTTCAATCCAGGTCCCAAACTGTGTGTTTTATCATTTAATTTCAGTCCTCATATTTGGCACATTTGAATGCAAATCAAAATAAAGAATCATACGTAAGCAATAATGTAAGGACTCTCTATAATACATCGGGACCAGTAGCCAAATGTCATCAATTATGCTGACATCTCCTTCAGTATGGAATGTGTCCTAATACTAAGCAATTGTATGTTAACAGTTCCATATGCATTACTACTAATGGTAACTATTGAGTTGAATCATTCCTGTGATAGTATTTAATAATGTCATTTTTAATTGCATACATGCAAGCTATCCCAGTCCTTTTGTGGAAAGAAAATGGTGTTATATTCACATAAAAATAACCAGCACAAAACCACTCTTGTTGCTTTCCTTTAAATGGAGAGAAAAATTTGTGCTCCCAAACCAAGACCTTGGATGCCAAGTTGCAGCCTGGAGCATATTTTTATGGCTGAGTTACAGGCCCCTGAAAAGGGGGTGTTGTAATCAAAAAGCGTGACAAGATGAATGTGCCACTGTAATTAATTAGATGTCTTTACCCCTTCCCCTACACTCTTGCTGCCACAAAAGATGGTGTGCCAGCTGTTCGTTCTTATCTGCCTCCTGTACTCCTCAGCATCATTGTGGGGTCAGCAAGGAGATATTTTATTAGCAATAGTGAGATAGAGATTAGAAAAGAAAATATTTCTTTGCTTCTTGCGTCCTGAATTGGATTGATGTGAGCATTCTGGGTTTGGTTATTCATGGTGAGGAGTTTCTAACTCTCATGACCTGTGAGTGCTCACCACAGGACCGAAGGAGGGTAACTGTTGGCATGTGACCTATGTGCCTGTCCTCTTCTCCTCTAAGAGGTATTACTGTTGTGGTTGCTCAAGGCATGTTCCCTACCCTTTTTACTTCCTCTTTGTTATTCCCCATGTTTCTGAGGTTGCCCAGAATGTAGCCTCATCCTCAGGGTCCAGCCTGCCATCTGCCAAATAAGAAGTGCAGCACTTTGTATCATATCTACCCAGGAGTCTGTGCACTCTTCTGGGTGTGTGGCACACATGAGGAAGAGAAGCAGATGTAATACTGAGAACAACCAGCTCAATAGTGGTACAGGTTCCCTTCACAGATTCTGAAGGCCTCCTATTTGTCCTGGGCATTCCCTAGCTCAACTCTGTGCAGCTCACACAGGGTAACTGCCCCATGTCCTCTTATCCATCCAAGCTGAAAAAGTACCCTGCAGTTGTCTCTGCGCTGGAAACTCTCCTGGTTTCAGGAAGCAGTGGCTGGCAATTAGTGTGACTGCTCTGGTGTTTTCTGTTATTCATCCTCCTCAATCAGCAGTGTTTAACATTTGTTCAATGCCTTTTCTGCCACCAGAACTTGCATGTGAGAGGAAATGAACATCTGAGTGTGTAGTTTCGATTAGGACTTGAAGCAACCCTTCCATTCTGCATACATGCTTTCTATGACTAGTGAACAGCAATACTGACATTTCAAATATCACTGCTGGCTTCCTAGAAGCTACTAAAATGGTTGCAGCATTTAACACATGCTTTTAGACCCTCTTTTAGGCAACTGTGGCCATTATCTCTTCATCACTTACAGTTTAGAATACAAAGGTTCTCTTAGCAACCATAACTTCTAGATGTGGGGAGAAAACTGAGACTGAAAAAGAAATTCTTCAAGCACTTAGTTTCTTACACTCACTCTAGGGACCATACAACACGGTTTTGTGAGATAAAATATTTAATGCAATTATTCCTCAATAGTGTCCACATCCTCACAGAAGCATTACTAGCTCTGCCATTGTTTGTCTGTGTTTAACTTTAGTTAAATCATCTAGGCATCAGCAGTTCTTCTGCAAATAGATGTTGGAGGAGCTGTGGAAGTACTGAAACCTTATTGCACTCATAAAAGCAGCCATTCCCAAACATTTCTTTTTTGGATGAATGACAAAGTGGTAATGAGAAGAAAATGTTCATGTCTGTAAATTCAGTTCAAGATGTTCTCCTTTGAAGAAGGAAAACCATCTTAAAGCTGACAAGTTGCCCTGTGATCATATGGTCCTCAATAAGCAAGTATCCACATACTCGTAAAGCCATTAGCAGAGAAGCCAAGGAGCTGAATCCTGTGAAGAGTGTTCACTCTCCTGCCTTGGAGCCGCTTCCTTCAGTTCTACGGTTATCAGCAAAGAAAGCAATGGGAAACACAACAAAGGCCATATACTGCTGATGCTTTTATGTCTCATGTAAATAATTATATGACCCCATGAACCATGAGATTTCATCCTTCACCAAACACATAGGGTTAAAATGTTATGTGCTTCACAGCAGAAGTGAGTTTGGCTTTAGTAACTCTCTTGTATGTATTTTAATTTCATTTTCTTTCCCACAACCTCCTGCCCCTTCAGATCCACGCTAACTTTTATTAATTTTTGTCTTTCTCCCAAGCTGTTCTTGCGTCCTCGGCTATGAGGGGGAGAGGTGTGAAATAAACCCAGATGACTGCGAAGATAATGACTGTGAGAATAACTCTACATGTGTGGATGGGATCAACAACTATGTCTGTCTCTGTCCTCCTAATTACACAGGTAAGAAAGGTCCACAATTAAAGAACAAGAATACATGAGGAGTCTCTGCAGTGCTGAAGGGGAAGGGTCTAATTGCGTGTTTACTTTGTCATAAATGCATAATTAACAAAAAAAATTACTCCCATTTCTAAGCTCCCTGTATGTTTTACTGATGAATGACTGGAAAGGAATCAGTTCTACCAATATTCAACACAAACACAAACACTCTTCTGAGTCAAATTGCTGATTCTTCATTGTAAAATACACTCAAAAATGCTGAAATTTTAAGTGTCCATGAAATGTTTATTTCTTCACATGCATTCACTACATTTCAAAAATATTCCCAGTACTGAACTGAATCTGATACACATCTGATATAAATCTTGAAAAACTAAAATGGCTCCAGTTTAAATTATGGTTGTTTTTTGGGCATAGCTTTCACTGGAGATCTCGAAGGCATATATTAAATAAGTTAAGCCTGATAATTTGCTGTTTAATTTCATTATCTCCATTTCACAAGTGAAGAAGCAAAGACTAAGAAACTGCAGGTTCAGTTGTATTTTTAAGAGTGCATCTATGGCAGTTAGCCCAGCACAGCAGATGTGCAGTCACTTGCTAAGCCCACAGTGACAGAAGTTGGTAACTGAGTTAGAAATGGAATGACTATTTCCAGTGCCCATGTTGTATTTCAGAGAAGTTCCTTCCTAAAACTTCTGCAAGGCCAGAAACCTTCCTAACTGCAATCTAAAAATGTTTTTTCTCAAATCGTTACTGGAGTATACTACTGACTCATTCAGACTGTTAGCACAACCTCCACAGCATGGAGCAGTGAGGAAACACCTGCAATAGTTCCTACTTCCATCCTTTGAAATGGGCTTATTACCTTCTAAGCATGGAGAAGTAATGAAGGACTTCTTGTACACAGGAATATATTGCATGTCAAGGGATTTAATGAGGATCAAGCTTGAGTGTCTGGGTGAGGTGGAGTAGGGGAAAGCTTCTAGAATTTCAAACTTAAAATACTTTTGTGGCTGATACAAAGGAGGCCCATGTAAATCTTTAGCTGAGAAAAGCCTTATGACTTGAATGTACATTTATTGGAGTTCTAAAATGATTTTTCTGCCAAAAACTGGAAAGCTTCAACTTAGCAGAGTAAAGAGTTTTGCCTGTAAGCATGTTGAGCCAATTGTGCTTGCTTGTGCACTATTTATGTGAGCTATTCTTGGGTGGTTTCAAACAAAATTCTATACAGGGCGGCAGAGCCTTTATATTTACAAGAGGAAATGTATTTGCCAAGCCAAGAAAAGATATATCTAGTAAGGAACTAAATCCACTATATATGCAAATGCTATTTCCTTTTCACAGGCTTATTGCAGATTATTTTGGTTATTGAAGAGAAGAAAAGCAGGAAAGAACTAGATTGGGATTTCTTCTTAAATAGCAATCTGGCTACAGGCCAGAGAATTCACATGATACTTAAGAATCAGTTTTGAAATGTTTTGAGTCAACTTCCATCTTATTTTTTTACCTGCGTATTGTCTGTGCTTGTTTGGGGGAGTTTGTCAAATACTTGTGTGTTGTAACACTGCATGCTAGATCCCAGCCTTGCATGTAGTGTGTGCACGATTGTATGTACCCACAGTAATGATCTGCTGTTAGAGTACAGGCAGTAGCTTTGACTGCAGTTGAAACAGACTTAGTGAAGAAGAGCAGGAAATATTTCTGGAAAAATATGATATAGATAGTGAAGTGAAGAAAGGCTACAAAAATGGGAGGGTAGCTTAAGTTTGAAATCTGATGAGTTTACGTGTTTCTTTTAAAAAGGGAGAGTGTAGCGAACTGTGAATTGCCAATTAAGAATTGCCTTAGCCTGCTTTACCTCCTTTTTGGAGATGGATATTCCATCCAGCCTGACCAGTCACCTGGAAGGACTCACTGCAGTGCAGCTGGCTGGGCTGAAATATCCTCTGAGATGTGCCTGGCCCTGTCTGAGCAGAAAGGCATAAAGTAGCTGCAAGAACTCAAACCGTCAGCCAAACAAATGTTACATACATGCCAAGTGAATTTGAGCCATGATTTTGAGGGTTCCATAAGAGTTGAATCCAAACACAAGAAACTGAACATCATTTGAAGTTACTTGATTGAATGAACAGCAGCTAAGGAAACTTCATGGAAGTAAACAGGCAAGTCATGAAGAAGCACTTTAAAAAGGAGGGTGTGCATGACCTGTAAAGAGAAGGATCCATAAGCATAGAGTTTGGCTGGAGTCTCCTATGAGATCCAGGGCATCTCTGTGAATATTCTCCTCAAATAAACCATGGTGTAGTGATACAAGACCTGAAGATAGTAAGGTAGTACCTTTAAAATGAAAATAATCATAATAAATAAATAGGTGCTGACAACTTTAATATTGTGTTTGAATACACTGAGAATGGTGAATGCTAACATTTCAAGATCGAGTGTGGTTTCACTGGGGGGTCAGGAACTTATTGCTGCTCTCATAACTGCATTCAGCTCTCTGCGTCCCTCTCGGGTGCTGACTCTGCTAATCATTCAGTTAGCAAACTGTATGTGCTTCAGAGCTGCCAAGTGTATGGATTCTATGTGTATGTATGTGAACAAAGAAAGAAAGATGGGAGATACTTTCAAAGGCAAAAGTAGCTTTTGTGCGAAGTAGTTTGGGGTATAATGGACTCACAGTGCCATGCTTTGCCAACAGGGGCAGTGATACCCATAGGTAGGGTGAAACCAGTAGGACAGAAAAATACAGGCAAGTATCTCTTTTTGTTGGGACCAACTCTTCAATAGGGACAAGCTGAGAGATGAGAAGGAGGATTAGAAATGATGCTTAAGAACCATTGGGAGGTTAAGAATAGGTCTTCAAGTTCTCAAGAAAAGTCATATTTGTCTTAAGAGAGTAGGCAGAGCAAGACTTTTCATACTTTACTAATGCCTATGCTGAAAACAGAAATTTCTGTAAAAGCTTGAATGGCTGGATTTGGTAGCTGAACAAATCCAGACCATATGGTTTTATCCAAGAAATGTTGATTCTAGGTACAACATGGATTTCTCACCAGATTAGTTTAATACAAATTAAGAATAATCTAAATTATACTGGAGTTCAGACAAGGTGTTTCTGTTGTAATAATCTGTGATGTTTTCAGTAGCCTTCAGGCTGGTTGCTGTAGATGCTCAGCATCTATTTCAGATTCAATTTCTTCTTTTCAGATTCTTCTTTCAGATTCTTCTTTTCTTGACTGTACAGAGAGGCAACGTCTTAATCCCTCATCACTCTTTTGTCTTGGGTGCTATAATACTTCTAAGACTGAATCATACTACAGTAAATATTGGAGAATAAATGCATTTTGTAACGTGAAGAAGTTCCTCCAGAGTACCTGGAGGAAGAAGATCCAAGAGCACGTGTGTTGTTCTCTAAGAACTGTTTTGCGATCTCCCCTGATTTCTTTGATTAATGTGTAAATCTTAATAGTAAATCTTATGTTCCTATGTGAAAAAGAAATTAAAAATGCATGTGTTGGAGATGTTGGCTATTGACAGGTAGACAATATCCATGGTTTGGTTTTTTCCATACCTCAGTATTTTTGTGCTTTATCTTCTGTCTTTCAAGTTTGACTTGTAGCCTTTTTAGGAAAAAATATCCCAAATACTGGTGCATACGTTTTTATTTCGTTGGTTTTAATAATGAAAGCCAGAAATCTTTCTTCAATTAATAGTTTTTTGCAGTGTTTTCCTTTAAAATTCTTTGACAATTTTTTCCCCACACAAAGTAGGTTGCAGATAAAAAAAAAAAAAAAAGCAACCGATTTGGTAAGTGACTGCTGAAGGAAGGAATTTCCCACACTCCAGCCCTATTTCACTTTCATTTAATTTTTTTTTTTAAGTGCAATAACCTTCTTCCTCGTTTTTTTCCATCTAATCATTAATACAACATGCAAATACAAATGGATTGTATGAAATAGGAAAGCGTAAGTTAAAGAGAACAAAATAGAGAGAGGAAAGTAGGCAGATAGCTGATTGCCATGTAAAGAAGGAGTCTATGGCAGAAAAGGAGACTTGATTCTCCTTAATCAAACCTTTGCTTGAACAAGTTTTCCTCCCTGTTCTTCAGCATTTTCCATGTTTGTTGTGTGCATTTATATAACTGAACCAACTCACACTGTGTAGCAGAGTACTGACTGCCTTTGCCTCCATTTGATAGATTCTTTTTTCTTTGCCCAACTTCTTACTTTATTTCTGAAGCTAAATTAAAAACATGTATTTCCTCTGGGATAATCATAGCCCTAGTCTAGCCAGCTCTACAGCTTGAGCACTTTATCAGCTGTTTTACAACCTGGTCTGACCATTTGATGGGCTTACAGTTTTGTAGTCTTTCCTCTCCAAAAATGAAAATATATAGGAATATTAGAAGAGGAAGCTATGAATTAGTAACCCCAATCTTTTCTTTTTTGAGTTTTTCTAATATTTGTCCAATTCCTTCATCCTACTGTTCTCTTAAATCTTCATCATTCTCTCGATCTCTTAACTTCCTTATCTTTGTCTGAATCTACAGCTTTACCATGCCCTATCTCTAGCTAATATCAACACAATCTCCCTAGCTTTTTGTTTTAGCAGTGTAGACAGAATTGATACCATTTTTTTCCTTTCCATTCCCATTTTCTTTTCTTTTTCATCCCAGACAATCTTGAGAGACTTCACTGATTTGTTTGTAGCTACAGATCAAACATACAGTTTTATACCTCCAAAAAAAAATCCTTCCTTTACTCTCATTATTGTCTGTGCTCTCACTTGAAGAAGTATTCCAACCTACATGAAGGACTGTCTATACCAAACATATACTGTGTAATTTGAGTTAGTTTATGCTTGACTTGCTACTTCATTTAGTCTTATTTGTGATTGCTGTGACTTCTGCTTCCTCCAGTCTGCCTGAAGCAGAAATAAGTAGGTCTCATGCAATAAATAAATCAATAAATATATCCATTTTTGCTAAGAATCCTAAAAAG